TTTTGAACTAAAAAAAAAACGAAACGAAATAGGATCTGCGTTTTAATCAGATTGCAACTTACATAAAATATCAGTGTTGTTTAAATACGATTAAATGAACAATTTAAAATGCTAACTGTGATTAATTCACCGGCCACAATAATAAGAGTTCCAGGAATATTTCACTGGTTTTCATGGTGTTTTTGAACGTTCGTGAAAAATATTATACCAAAAATGTTTAGGATGGCCGTTATATTGAATGGATGGGAACATTGGCGCCATTTAAAATTCTAAGATTAAAATGGATAATCCAGACATTGTTTATTATCGTAGCAATCGTATTTGACAAACCTTAATAGACATATAACTTCGCACAAAATAATGTAACTTGACTAAAATTTTCAATATATTCATTTTTCATTATCAAATGTTGGACTATTATAACAAGAACGGTCAGCTGTTGATCTAATTCTTACATGATGCATCTTTAATCTTTCAAAACAAACATTTAATCCTACAGAACTTGTCCCATCAATATAACACATCTGATTTACCCAATTCAACTATTTTTTTACTTTGACATCAATCAGGCCCAGATTAAACAAAGCATTCTCAGACTTAAGTTGAGAATTTACTCAACTTTCAATCACTGTTTATGAGAAATATCTTTGATGCAGAAACACAAAACTTTGCACATAGTTTCTTATTGATATATCTGATACATTAAAACAACAAAATTATTATAAAGGGCTATATTTTAGTTAAAATAAGGCAAACAAGTTTGAGTAAATTCTCAACTTAAGTCTGAGAATGCTTTGTGAACAAAGGGCCAGAAAACAAGGTAAATTTATTAAACAAACCGATTTCCTCGTTGTCTTGCGAAACAAACATTTAACCATATAAAGCTTATTGCGTTATTGTAATCGAAATAACTCAGCGGATTGTCTCATCTATTTTTATTTTGGCATATATCAATAAATAGGATCTGCTTCTATCCAACCAAAAGTGCATTGACTCTAATAACTCATGATCGTAATCCACAGAACCACAATTCATGGCCGAATTCACAGTCCACAACTCATGACCGTAATTCATAGAACAACTCATGACCGTAATTCATAGAACTACAACTCATGGCCGTAATTCACAGAGAGAGAGAGAAATGGGGTTTAACGTCCACTCGACACAAACTAGGTCATTTCGGGACTAACATATGGTTTAATTTTATTTCAATAATTCGCTTGCGTAGGGGTCTTTAGCAGTGGGAGGAAACCGGAGGACCTGGAGAAAACCCACGAGGTTGGACAGACGACCCTACTCCTTGCCACGTACAACCGGGGATTCGAAACCACGCCAGTTGACTCAATGACAGACTTTATGATACAGCGCGCGCACGCTAACCATTCAGCCATCCAACCCCCCCCCCCCCCCACAGAAAGACAAATCGAAGTAGTAATTCATAGAACAAAAACTCATTGCTGCAATTCATAGAACTACAACTCATGAAAGTGATTCATAGAACCACAACTAATGACCGCAATTCATAGAACCAAAACTCATGGCCTTAATTCACAGACAGACAAATCGGAGTAGTAATTCATACAACAAGAACTTGTGGCTGCAATTCGTGACCGTAATTAACAAAACAAGAATTATGAGAACAATGAAAAGGCGATACTTGTTAAGAATAACTAAAGACGATAGTTCTTAGAAAAAGCAGATCTTAGATGACCACTACTTCCATTAGATACCGTTTGCTTTTGGTAAGACTATTTTGTATTGTGTATGGTCTGAAAGTCCATATTTGAGTTTTCGTCCGGCATATTGTGTATCATCTGAAAGTCTATATTTGAGTTTTAATCGGGAATACTGTTATGGTCTGTAAGTCTATGTTTGTGTTTTAGTCTGGGATATTGTGTGCCGTCTGAAAGTCTATATTTGAATTTAAGTCTTGAATATTGAATATGATCAAAAAGTCTATATTTGAGTTTTAGTGCGGGAATATTGTCTATGGTCTGAAAGTCTGTATTTTAGTTTTAGTCTGGGATATTGTATATGATTAAAAAGTCTATATTTGAGTTTTAGTGCGGGAATATTGTGTATGGTCTGAAAGTCTATATTTGAGATTTAGTCGTGAATATTGTGTATGGTCTGAATGTCTGTGTTTGAGTTTTAGTGCGGAAATATTGTGTATGGTCTGAAAGTCTACATTTGAGTTTTACTCTGGGATAGTGTATATGGTCTGAAAGTCTATATTTGAGTTTTACTCTGGGGTATTGTGTACAGTCTGAAAGTCTATATTTGAGTTTTACTCGTGAATATTGTATATGATCAAAAAGTCTATATTTGAGTTTTATTCTGGGATATTGTGCTTTTAAAAATTATATTTCAACCAATGCAAAACACAATAACTGCGAAAGATGCAGATTAAAGTGCAAAAATAATATACAAGTAATCCTGAAATAATCCATTAAAATATCAGTTCACCCATTTAAAAACAACATAAAATCACATCTATAATATACAAATCATATCATAAAACTTGGTTAGTTTGTTCGTGCGGCTTAACGTTCGCTTCCACCTAGAGTGATATCACAAACCAATCTGAACGACAGACTCACCCTACCTGCAGAGAAGTGACTCTGGCACAGTGAATAGCCATGATATCCATATGACCTTATCTAAACGTCACAGGTCATGAGGTCACATCAACAAACAAATGTAAACACCATCATTATGATCATTATCAACAATACAAGACACAATGTTACATTGTAAACAATAGCCTTCTTGCAGCCTTTAGGACTGTATAATCCGTACAGAACGTCTTATCGCTTCTTCCAATGATTTTTCACAAAAATAACATCTACAACTCTAGATTTGACGTCGGCATATTGGCACTATTTTGTGCTTCGGTCGTGTCTATTTCAGATATACACAATCAATTCTGTTAATGTTTTTAGCGTGGGGATTGACTAAAAGTTAATTTATTTCAATTCTAATCAAAAATTTAAAACTTTAACGCAATTTTAAAAAAATAGCCAAATTCTGGCTGGGATTACTGAGCAAAATGGCCATTCACTGTATACATGCGAAAAAAAAAGCCAGTTACCATTTAATTTTCGTACGTTAGTTACGTACGATCACAAACTATAAATCTGTATCATAGAGTAATATCACAGACTATAAATCTGTATCTTAAATTGCAAACAGCTCCCTACACAATATTAGCTGTGCTTACATTGCATTATTTATTTAATAAAATTTTCTATAAATGATATAAATGTATTTGTCTACAGTTTGTGCGGACTATTAATTTTAAAAAAGTTGTTAGAAATGAAATAAGAGAAAGTATCTGAAAGATGAATATTGAACCACTACAAGTTGACAGAAATGAAATAAAAAAAAAAAGAATTAAATAAGTGGATACTGAATAACTGCAAGTTGATAGAAATGAAATAATTGAAATATTCATTTAATAAAACTTGATAGATGGGGAAATAAGAGAAGGTAGTCTAAAAGTTCAATAGTGAACCACTACAAGTTGATAAACATTGAACCACTATCTACGTATGGTAATCAAAATTAAACAGTGAGATTGAAATTCGATAGAAGTACAAATTGAGCACTATTCGCCGAAATTCAACAATATTTATGAATAATTGGACACAGAGTAGAAATTAACGCTATTTACGCCAGATTAAACAGTACCAATGTTACAGTGTACAGTACAAATAGATAAATATGAGATTAACTAGAATACTGAATTACTGTAAGTTGCTATAAACACAATAAATAGAATAGTGAAATACTTAAAGTTGCAATTAATGAAATAAAGAGAACGAGCTATAAAATAAAGTAAAATAGGATATGACAAACTTCAATCTGATTAAAATACAGATCTATATTTCGTTTCGTTTTCTTATACTTTCGATGGCTTATACTACATGGAGATCTGACCAGTTGTAGTAGAAGGTTGCGTCAGAGGTCATACGAGCGGCTTTTGACCCTATGGCATCAGATATTTGATTAACCAATCAGCATTGATGTTTCAAGTAGAATACTCACGGTTCTGTGCACTGCATGCTAAGAACTCGCCGTAACAAACCGTTTCATTGGGTAATCCCTCACATCAACCAGAACGCAGATTATATAACAAGGCTTCCAGATCCTAGTTCAGTAAAGACAAGTAAAACGAAAAACAAAACAGAATAGGATCTGTGTTTTAATCAGAGTAGACAAACTTGAATTCTCTGAATTAATAAACAACAATATCAATAATAGGGTCTCGACAATCGGACGTCATTATTACACCATACCAATTGAATTCCTATGTAGTATATGTCTGGCACACAGTAATTATAGGGTTTCGACAACATAAAATTGTACAAGCTCTGGGAATGTGGTTCTAATTATAATGTCTTCACCACTGGATCCCAGGTATCATTCAATCTTGTGTACATGTATCTAGCACTAATTTATTTCACATTTGTTCAATATCAAATCTTTGTTAAAAAATTTGTAAAAATTATTTAAAATCACCCCAAATCATCTAATTTGTACCTGTGTCCAGTTTAAAGCTGACTGATTAATTTTGATAATGAGTGTCCAATTTACAAGTATTTAATTTCCTGACCACTGTTCAAAAATTCATTATACATCAGAAATCAATTAGGTTGTTTATATTTTAACAGTGATTTAGAAATTAAATACTTGTAAATTGGACACTTTTATCAAAACTGAATAGTCAGCTTTAAACTAGACACAAGTACAAATTAGATGAATTTGGCTGATTTTAAATGATTTTTACGAATTTCTAAACAAGGATGTGATACTGAATGAATGTGAAAGAAATTAGTGCCAAATACACAAGATTAAATGGTCTAAAAGTCTGTATTTGAGTTTTAGTCGGGAAAATGTGTAGGTCTGAAAGTCTGTATTTGTGTTCTGTGCTTGTGTATAATAAACCAGTGATTGTTGTCCCATATAACTGTATAGTTTTGTAATACATATCATAGTTCTCTATGCAATGTCATATTTAGAGTCAAAAGTCGTATCCACAATTTTTACACATACTTTCACTGAACTACTTGATAGAAATATTACTTAAAGCCACAATAGAGAAATGGGGCTTAACTTTCATCCACTCATCACAAACTAGTCAAAATCAACGAGGTAAGGTAGGTGATGCTCTTTGAAGGCCAATCATCATTTTTCTTTTAACAGTAATAAAAGTTAAAAGTTTTATTTCGATGGTAATTAAGTTGGACGAACCAAAAGTTTAAAGTTGCATTATGTAAGAATTAAATCGGCCGATTGCAGGTCTTTATTTTGGCCTCAAATGTTATATAATAATAAAATTATTAATGAAAATTTGACTGAAATTTTTAATCTATTCCCTATTCATTATCTTCTTTTCAACTATTATAGCCAGAACTGTCTGCTCTTTTTCTATATCTCACATAATGCACCTTTAAGTTAGATAATATTGTTAGCTTGATTTTATGGATAGAAATGAGTTATTCTTCAGTGGTTGACTGGCGTGTCTAATATCATAAAGATGGCAGCCTGAAATCAATAGAAGGTAGTGAGCTCAATGTTCATGAACAGAAATACATTATCCTTTAGTTACTGACTGACATGTCTAGGATAATAAAGATGACAGTGAGAAATCAATCAAAAGTAATCTCAACTTTAAATGGCAATAACTTGCCTTAGGATTGATCGATTTTAATAATATTTTGTGAACAAAGTTTCTATTTCTGTTCAAAGACTTTCCTCCTTTTCTGATATCTGTGACATATCTATCCATGAACATCAAGCTCAAGATGGTATCCAAGCTAAAAAATTTTGTTTTAAATGTACCAAATAAAGAAATGAAATGGGGTTTAACATCGTACTGTTCTGCTCTCACTGGCCTAAAGAAGATGGGTATATGCTACACAGTGAGCTATGAGGGAATTTTGCCCGAACAGCGCTACAGCCTACTCTTATATCAAATTCCACCTGCCAAGGGAACTTTTACGTGCACACAGGTCCTTGGTTTTTTCGTGCCATCTGAACGACTATATGTTGTCTCTTGCCAAGCCCCGTGTCATACACCGCTGACAACGAGTAGTAACGCCAGAAAATCATGGCAACAAAGGGATCGAAACATGGGACCTCCAAGTTAGCGAGGCAATGTCTTACTCACTGAGCCAACATGGCTCCTACCAAATAAAGAACATTTTTAAGTCCTTATTCTTGTTAAATTTATATGTATATTAGGAAAATGATAATTGGCAGTCCAAAGTTTTATAATTAAGATAATTCAAACCACATAAGAATAGCGTTATCCAAAGTATGCGTGGAAGATATATACATGTAGGAGTCATATAATATGACCCTAATGGTTTTGGTTCAAATTGTGCCATTTATCTCTTCCTTGGACATAAATTTAAATGAAGATATATAATACCTGAATGGTTTTGGTTCAAATTGTGCTATTTATCACTTCCTTGGATATAACGAAGTTATCTATGACCCTAACGGTTTTGGTTCAAATTGTGCCATTTATCACTTCCTTGGATATAACGAAGTTATCAATGACCCTAACGGTTTTGGTTCAAATTGTGCTATAATTCAAATCCTTATATATAAATTTAAATGAAGTTATATATATTACCCTAATGGTTTTGGTTCAAATTGCACTATATATCACTTCCTTGTATATAAATTTAAATATGGATAATGAATTTATAAAATTTTCTATGTAACTAAACCACGATTGATATGTAAACACGAACATCTTTTGTGAATAAAGTTTTTAGTTTTTCAAACACTTTCCTCCTTATCCGATATTTGTGACAGAGGTAATAGTTTCTCGACGCTGCTCCGAGAACTACTGGATCGGTCTGTGCTACTATAACCACTTGATTTGCTTTCCACTAAATTAATGCTTTCTAATTGTTCTGTTTTTGATTTCGATTTTGAACGGTGTTTCAGTCTCCCCGCTTCGGAAGTCGAGGAACAGGCTGACTTCTTTGTCCGTGTCTGATCTTGTGTTCCGTATTTTCCAGGTTCAAACACAACTTCTGTATCTGTTGGACTTTCCTTCCAGTTCAAACTACTAGCACGATTAACCCTATCCGCCTGTATCCTGGAAAAATCAGATTTTTTTTTTCTTAATTCAAAAATCCTCCATCTATAAGAATACTGTAATACAAAAAGAATAATGCAGATATCTGCATCAATAAACACTATTTATTGACAACAATTACAGTACTTTAGTATGAGGTCACGTTTCAACAAGCACTACAACCCATGTATCATTTAATCTTGTATATCTAGCACTAATTTCTTTTACATTTAATATAAAATCTTTGTTTAAAAATTTGTAAAAATCATTTAAAATCACCCCAAATTATCTAATTTGTACTTGTGTCCAGTTTAATTTTAATAATGAGTGTTCTATTTACAATTTTTAGTTTCTTGACCACTGTTCAAAAATGAATCATAATACATCAATACTCAATTGGTTTGTTTATTTTTTTAACAGTGATCAAGAAATTAAACACTTGTAAATTGGACACCCATTATCAAAATTGAATGGTCAACTTTAAACTGGACACAAGTACAAATTAGTTGATTTTGGGTGATTTTAAATGATTTTTACGAATTTTTAAACAAAGATTTGATATTGAATGAATGTGAAAGAATTGAGTGCTTAATACACAAGATTATATGATACCCGGTTTACAATGAAGATTTATATCCATTTTTTTTTTTAAATCTTTGTTTCTCTGATAAAGGTCTGTGAATAAAGACGAAAACTTGGAAATCAAGCATGTATATATATATATAATAATATTAATGAATTTTTATATTGTGCGCATTCCATCCAAACAGTATGCTCATGGCACAGGTTTGTTTTTCTCTTTAGTTTTGTAGTTCACTATTTATAATAGGATTGAAATAGAGAGAGAGAGAGAGAGAGAGAGAGAGAGAGTTTAACATCCCATCGATACAAACTAGGTCATTGTGGGACTAACATATGGTTTGATTTTATTTCAATAATTCGCTTGCGCGTAGGGGTCTTTAGCAGTGGGAGGAAACCCACAAGGTTAGACAGGCGACCCTACTCCTTGTCACGTACAACCATCGATTCGAAACCATGCTAGTCAACTCAATGACAGGCCTTATGATACAGCTCGCAGGTGCTAACCAAAGAATTGAGATTTTAATTTTCATTTGAAAATACCAAACGTTGTGAACTTTTGATTTGCATAGTTAAAGAGTTCCACTGTGGTTTTAATTGTCTATAGTTACAATTGTCTGTATATGGTTACACAGTACATCCATGTAGGTTGTATATGGGTATAATTTAGGAACAATGAATGGAAAATAATCTTGGGATAGATTAAGATCATTAATAGACTATTAAGTTAAGGAACGTATTTTTTAATAAAATGGTTTTCCATTACATATACATATATGTGTATATGTGTTTATATGCTTGCAGCTTGATAACGACTTGTCAAATCTTGCTGAAACGCCCACAATGTAGTAAATTAAAGTAATTGCTATCCATAAATAGTGTTATATTTGATTATGTATCTGTAATATATCTTTTGTTTCTATGGTTTGGATTTTCTACTATATTCCCAACAGCTGAGTTTTATCACTGTAACGCTGGTATCATTTAATCTTGTGTATCTAGCACTAATTTCTTTCACATTCGCTTAATATCAAATATTTGTTTAAAAATGCATAAAAATTATTTAAAATCACCCCAAAATCATCTAATTTGTACACAAGATTAAATAACACCGGTTTAAAGTGGCATACCATCATAATATTCCTCCTTATGCATTGAGAAGTTTGTCACAAGCTTAAAAGTAAAAATATTACTAGAAATATATTTCTGCAAAATGCTTACCAACATTTTCAAATTCGAAATGGAAATGAAATGAAATGGAGTTTAACGTCCTACTGTTCTGGTCCAGCTGGACTAATGACCTACTCGTACCCTCCAAACCACTAGACAGCTGTCCTTGTCAGACCCTCCATCCTGCACCGTTGACAAGGGGAAACCCTGTCAGAAAATCCTGATGAACTTTCTCGGCCATGTATCATGTTCTTTAGTTTTATGAGTTTAAATATAAATGGGAAGATAACTACCAAAAAGAAATGTGCATAGAATCAACATTTAAAATACATATAGTGTACAGTAACTTACATTCTAATAACAGTATCTAATAATTCCATATATATCACAAATTCGTTTCCTCTAAATTCCTGTAATGATACAGAACAACCAGTAGTTAAAAAGCTATTATTTCATACAAAAAGACAAATGTCATTCAAATATATGATAGAGAGATAAAGGTTTACAGCCACTCGACACAAACTAGGTCATTTCGGGACTAACATATGGTTCAATTTTATTTCAATAATTCGCTTGCACGTAGGGGTCTTTAGCAGTGTGAGGAAAGCGAAGGACCCAGAGAGAAATTAATCCTTGTCACGTAGGGGTCTTTAGCAGTGGGAGGATGAGCAGGAACCGGCAAAAACTCATGAGGTTGGAAAGGCGACCCTCTATAATAGAGGTAGACGAAATAAAACTAAAATTAAATGAATTATTAATAAGGCACTACAAAAACATATCCTGGTTCTCAGACAATACTACCCAAAAATAAAATACGGTAGACTCCGCATATAATGGACGCGCATACAATGGACAATCGCTTATAATGGACACAACAGTTTGGTCTCGATTTTTGTAATAGAAATTTCTTATTTTCAAAGTCTTTTATAGTGGACACTGTATAACGGACAATCGTTTATAACGGGCGATTTTCATTGGTCCCTAATTGACAAATCAATTTAAAAGTCCATTTTTATAACGGACTCTAGAATAAGCAGAACAAAATGATGATATTACTGATTTTATTATCGGTCACTGGAATACTTTTCCAAGAAAATATCCATACTGATTTTATGGGAAACATTTTTCCGGGAAAATTCAGCCCAGACACAACAGCGATTCTACAAACATGGAAATCCAGAAAAATCCTGTGTTTCTGGCGGATTCAAGCAGACCTGCATTACAGACTTTTTCAAATAAGCTTGTTTATTTTGAACATCCATAATATGTGAATACATACATGACTCTAATGTAAATACATGTATGTTCTGTAGATTCTGCATATGATAAATGTTGTTATTTCATGGGATGGTGTTACCTTCCTGTCGCTAACTCAGGGTCGATAGCAGATTTTTTGTATAACGAACATCGTTTATAACGGACGATTTCTTCCAATCCGTTATATTGAAAGTCTACTGTACATGTATTTTTTTGTTTTATTTTGTCAAAGGATCACAAAGTGTGTGACTCTGTGGTATATGTAAACCAGAATAATTTTATTACTGGACCAGGTGAGGGTCAAGAAATCAAAACTGAAAAACAATTTCATTCAGTCCAAGTTTTGATAACTCTTGATTCTTATCATTAATTTTATGCCATATTATTCCAGGAGAAAAGACCACTTTACTATATATATGTTTTCAGGTGAGAAATCCTGGCTAGGTGGGGATCATGTGGCTAGGTGGGTAAGAAGCTGGCTCGCTAGCCTGGAGGTCGGGTGTTCGATCCCTGCATTGGCCGAGAAAGTTCATCCCGATTTTCCGGCGTGGTTTCCCCTTTTCAGTGATGCAGGAAGGAGGGCCTGACAAGGACAGCTGTCTAGTCTTTTGGATGGTACGAAAAACCGAGGTCCCGTGTACACATTGGCATGCACGTAAAAGATCCCTTTGCAGTTGGAATTCGATATAAGAATAGGCCGTAGCGCCGCTGCCCGGGCAAAATTTCCCTCATAGCACACTGTATGGTGTATGCCCGTCTTCATTAGCCCAGGTTAGGAGCAGAACAGTAGGACGTTAAACCCCATTTCATTTATTTCCTGGCTAGGTGTTTCTGAAGTAATATTGTCTGTTGAATCCAAAAATCGCAGTCTTACATGCACCAGCCTGTGCATTTTTTTTTTATAAAGGTGCATGTTTTTGATTGGTAGGTGTGAATTTGCTTTGTGATTATATGAAGAACTGATCAAACTTACACTAGGATCGTGTCGGGCGTGGTCGTATGATTGTGCAAAATGATGTATAATTGCCGCATCGTGAGTATCATTAATGGATGCTGGACAGAGCGACGAGAGGTAATGTTGAATAGTTTCGTTGGGATTTCTAAATTTTATTGTTTCATCTTTCTTCATCAAACACTCAACTGGAATATGACAAGAAAAAAACATTTTAAAAATTTTCATACAAGTGGAATTAGACAAGAAAATATATAACAGAAATATTTATACAAGTTTAAAAATAAAATTAAAATTAAAATCTCTTTCAGCTTATTTTAAAAATAAGGTCACTCTGATTGAATACAGATTTATATTTCGTTTCGTTTTTTTATACTTTGGATGGCCTACACTACATGAAGATCTGACTAGTTGTACTAGAAGGTTGTGTCAGGGGTTGTACAAGCGGCTTTTGACCCTATGACGTAAGACATTGATTAATCAATCAGCATTGACGTTTTGAATGGTTTACCCACAGTTCTGATAATAAACAATGTCCGGATTATCCATTTTTAGGGGATTTAGGATAGGTCCACGTCCTTCAAGTTGGGTAGTATAGCCAGTGGGCTTTATGGTAGGTGGGGGATTGGGTGGTCTAGTGGTTCATAACGTCTGTAATTGAGCCAAGTGGCATGGTTTCGATTCCCGGCTTGTACATGACAAGGAGTAGGGTAACCTGTCTATCCTCCCGGGTTTTCTCCAGTTTCCTCGAACAGCTGAGACCCCGACAATCGAACCATATTTTAGTCCTGAAATAACCTAGTTTGTGTCGTGTGGACATCGAATTCAATTTATCTCCCTCCCTTTTATGGTAGATCCCTATCCTTCAATTTAGGCAGCTTTATGCTAATTCCCCCTACCTCTAACAATGTTACATCTGAATACTTACTTGCATTAGAAAAAGCATCTAAAGCTTTCATTCTATAGTGGTAATGATTTGGCACTGGTTAAAAAAAAAAAAAAACATTTTTAAAAGTCAGGACTAAAAATCACATTACATGCCAATAGAAATTAAAGAACAATATTGGTGCCAGTCATTATCACATATGTGATAGAGCTGGTTAAACACATTCCAAATATAATTTTAACACAGAGATCATTGCTACGATAGCTGAATAATACAGGTTTCCTGAATCGGAAGTGACGAATGCCAAAGGAAAACACAAGTAATCCCTCTATATAACTGACTGATGTGACGAGTGATAACAGATACACGGCCGAATTTCTGCTCACTAATAATTCTTTCGAAGACCAAAAGTTGTTGTGTGAGACTGTGAGAGGATACCTGACAATTCATAAAAAGAATTGACTGCCACTAGATAAGAGAACACGAAAGAAAAACAGAAAAAGTCTGTGCATTACCATGTTTTTATAAGGTATAGAATGAATATAAACAAGGGAATGTACAGAGTACGGACTATTTCTATTTTTCTCGTGTTCTCTTATCTAATGACATTCAGTTACTTTATTGAATTATCAGGTATTCTTTTACAGTCCCATATAGCAAATTTTGGTCTTCGAAGGAATTATTAGTGAGCAGAAATTCGGCCGTGTATCTCTTATCACTCGTCACATCAGTCAGTTATATAGAGGGATTACTCGTGTTTTCCTTTGACGTTTGTCACTTCCGATTCAGGAAACCTGTATTGCTCAGCTATCGTAGCAATGATCTCTGTGTTAAAATTATATTTGGAATGTGTTTAACCAGCTCTATCACATATGTGATAATGACTGGCACCAATGTTGTCCTTTAAATCTTTCATGGCTTAACATACATTATAATGTACTCAATATGACTATTTAACATATGATTAAGAAAATAATATCAAAATATTAATGGTAGATAATATCCCGCCTCTATTCAATCAAATTAAAAAGAAAATGAAATGGGGTTTAACATCCTTCTGTTTTGTTTCGCTTGGGCTAATGAAGATGGGCATATGCCATACAGTGTGCTATGAGGGAAATTTTGCCCGGACAGTGGCACTACGGCCCACTTTTGTATAGAATTCCAACTGTTAAGAGATCTTTTACGTTCACGCCAATGTGTACATGGGACCTCAGGTTTTCGTCCCATCCAAACAACCAGACAGCTGTCCTTGTCATGCCCTCCGTGCTGCACCACTGACATGGGGAAACCACACCCCCGCCCAGGACACCATAGAAATAGCGTGACTGAAGTAATGTGGTCTGATAAAGAGAAATTCAGTCCCATTCCTAATTAGTTAAAGATACATTATGGAAGATCAGATAAAGAGCTGGCAGTTCTCACTTTAACAGTTAATACCTAGATAATGTAAAGGGAATTTTATGAAAATTTCAGTGAAATTGATCCACTCCGAACCGAGAATTTAGTGATTGAATATTAGGTCTAGCCTTGATCACCATTACTAAAGTCGGTACGATGAAAAACATAGTCTCGATTATCCATTTCTTGATTTAATCATCAATGAGCGTTGAGCAGCAGATCAGATTCTTATCTAGTAAATATCGCAGATTATGGTCTGGATAGGTTAATTAATGTTTAATTAATAACTTAGATAACATTTCAGGCCTAAAGAAAGACTTGCAATAGGCAGATTTAGCTCTTGCATAATGTATGTTTAAAACTATATGTACACTTACCTGTTGCTGAGATTTGTTGAACTTTTTCTGTTAATAAAACAGGTTCATATTTTATAAATTGAACTCGATCAAATCTTCTCTGTATTTCTAATTTCATTGCCTAAAATAAAAATAATCAAACATTATTTATGTAATCATTAAAACCCCAACATGTCCAAAGAAATTTAAATGCAGTGTTTAAAGATACATTATGGGAGATTAGATAAAGAGCTGGTAGTTCTCCCTATAATAGTTAAAAACTAGATAATGTAAAGGGAATTTGTGACCCCCAACAGCATACTGAGTCACAATGAGGAAATTTTGAAAATTGAGTTATTGTTATTTTCACATTCTCAAACTCATTACCTTCAATTTGATGTATAGTTTGTTTGAATTGGGCAAAAATTGACTGAGCTGTGTCCATTAGAAGCTACCCAACTCACAAAAGTAAGTTTTGAGAAAAAGCAAGTCAAAGATTTGGTATGTTCCAAAACAAAATCCCATAGCAACAAGGCCATTTATCTGCTGTTTTGTCGTTGAATATATCTTTCCATGGGTTTTCAGGGGTGCTGAAGACGAAAATCGTAGTACAAATTTGATCCAACTATTTCCGCAATTTATTTGCTATACTTTCGGCATAATATTCACATGATAGTGTTATACTGAAGAACAATCTATATATTAGTAGTCTGTTGTGTATAATATAACTTTAATGAGATTAACTCAGTTAATCTCATTAATTAATTAGCACCTTAGTGCCAGCTAGTGGTCAGGAGATTAAGATTGTTGATTTGATAATCATCAAAGAAGCCGAAACGGCTGTACGTGTGTTCATTTAACACGTGAATTAAAATAAGATTTTGCGTGTACGATATGTCTATTATTATTTTCAGGTACCGTGACGTTATCAAAATATGAGTCCCTATAGAAATGTCAATTTCATAGTCAATGCTTATGTTCACTTTCGTGCATTTTGGCTTTGATGTAAATATCAACATTATTCAGAGGATACTCAATGGCAGACTCGAGAATCGCAGCATTTCGGCTCGTTGGTCGTTCTCATTTTTTCGACCCATTGTGATAAGAGAATTTTAAACAATAATATCCCAAATGCATTCCTTACTTTGCATGCCGTATGAAGAAGCGACATTAAACGGAATTCAGCTATCAATAAAATTCTCTTCGAAAAGAACATTATTGGCCATTTTGTTTATTTCCATTTAAGGCCTATAGATAATTTTTTTAAAGATGATATGAGATATCAAAACAATCACCACTTGGATTAATTATTCAGAGTAAATAATGAGTTGTCGACGGCTTTATCATTGACCCGTGACAGTTGATTAGTAATAGTATTACTCAATGACACACACCCGCTTGTCGATTAATTTACATCATCAGCCACGTGGTTTCGATTAACACTCAAGGGCAATCTATACGATCAGAATTAATTTTTTTTTTCTGCCACTTATCAGAGTGAATCGCATGTAGGTACCCAAAAACATTGCCAAAACCAATAATTTATCGATAATGTCTTGCACGCGGTGTCCGGGCCAATCATCAAAGGAGTTGTGTGGACAGCATGGCAACAGGCGGAGTTTATTTATATTTTGGGGGGGGGGGGGTTAAAACTTGATTGTATCTGTTCAAAATCAATTCATCGACAATATTTTGATCATATTTATAAACTAGAGATGCCCCGCTTTACAACAATGCCAATTGTTATGCAAGAGGAATGACCGTTCGTCCCACTGCAAGCGAAGAAAAATAACTAATTTCGCCGAGAATTTTGAGAAATAGGACAGATTTAAGAATACGGTACTCTTACAAAACGTTCAAATACAGGTGTTTTAAAATGCTTTATTGCTATTTTGATCTTCTGTGTTGATAGATAGTATATTTATAGTCTCATTTTTATGAAAATCTCAATTTCGTTCAAAATCAATATTTTCCACTTATTTTGTCTTTATCTCATTATTGATTCTCCCGCATTCCGACTAATTTAGATGCAACCGGTCACATTTGCTGAAAATTTCAGTCAAATTGATCCACCCTTAACCGAGTATTTAGCGATTTTATTTTTGGCATAGCCTCGGTTATCGGTACAATAAAAAAAACATAGTCTCGATTATCCATTTTTTTTATATTTAATCAGAGCAGCAGACCGGGTTCTAATCCAGTAAATAACATAGACTAGCGATGACATTGAGAGTTGATTATGGTCTGGATAGGTTAATCAATGTTTTATTAATAATTTAGATAACATTTCAGACCTAAAGAAAGACCCACAATAGTCAGATTTAGCTCTTGTATAGTGTATGTTTAAATACAGTTTCAGACTACATACAATCAAAAGTAGTGCCGGATACTGCCACTGCAGTCACGATATGATATGAATTGTGATTCCTGTGATATGATAGGATTTATATCACGATTCATAATCAGGTCAATATTTACCAAGAAAACAACAGGATAAATGATTAATTGATATTTTTAGCCCTGCCTATGTTGAAGAAATGTAGATCAAAATAAGGACCAAAACAATTAAAGAGTGTTTGTGTACATATGAACAATGTGTGACATGGATAATTAAGAGTGGCAGGTTATTTACTAAAGTGAGAAAAATAATCTTGATGCATCGATTCAGCATCTCGCGATTAAATACGCGTCAGCAATAATCAAAAGTACTTTTATTTCATCAAAAAAATTCATTTACACCTATTAATTTTAACTTCAGTTATGGCCGTTTAAAGTTTACACTGGTTTTTATTGATTTCAAAGTGACATCTTGATGTGTCTTAGATAAATAAAGTAATAACAATCCTGTTTTATTTTTTGTACAAGCCAGTCTTGGATACATAAAATAACAACAGTCTTTTATTATTTGTGACTTTTGAGATATTTGTAAACAACTGTCTTTTTGTGCCTTTATTAAAGTATCAAACATAATGATCAAACTTACACCATCTATGCATTTATAGAATTAAATGAAATGGGGATTAACGTCGTACTGTTATGCTCCGACTGGGATAATGAAGACGGGCATACACCATACAGTGTGCTATGACGATGAGGGAAATTTTGCCCGGGCAGCGGCACTATGGCCTACTCTTATATCAAATTCCAACTGTCAAGGGATCTTTTACATGCATGCAAATGTATATATGGGACCTCAGTTTTTTGTCCCATCCGAACGACTAGATAGCTGTCCTTGTCAGACCCTCCATCCTGCACCACTCTTAACTATATATGTAGTTCCAATAATCACAAAGAGTCCAACATGTCACAATCATCTGATAAAAATATTGAAATGAAATGAAATGGGGTTTAACGTCCTACGGTTCTGCTCCAAACTGGGCTAATGAAGACGGGCATACGCCATACAGTGTGCTATGAGGGAAATTTTGCCCGGACAGCGGCACTACGGCCTACTCTTATATCGAATTCCAACTGTCAAGGGATCTTTTTCGTGCGAGAGAGAGAGAAATGGGGTTTAACGTCCACTCGACACAAACTAGGTCATTTCGGGACTAACACATGGTTCAATTTTATTTCAATCATTCACTTGCGCGTAGGGGGTCTTTAGCAGTGGGAGGAAACCGGAGGACCCGGAGAAAACCCACGAGGTTGGACAGGCGACCATACTCCTTATCACGTACAACCGGGGAATCGAAACCCCCGCTAGTTGACTCAATTACAGACCATATGATACAGCCCGCACGTGCTAACCATTCTGCCACCCACCCCCCCATCTAGTCATTCGGATGGGACAAAAAACCGAGGTCCCGTGTACACATTGGTTTCTTTTACGTGCACACCAATGTGTACACAGGACCTCGGTTTTTTGTCCCATCCAAATGACTAGATAGCTGTCCTTGTCAGGACCTGTCCTGCACAGTTCCAATAATCACAAAGAGTCCAACATGTCACAATCATCTGATAAAAATATTGAAGGGGGTTCACTATTTCGATGTACTTCAGTAGAACATTTTTTTTAAATCATAGCTATCAAATCGGCTAAATCTGACTCCAGGTAAATTCATGTCTTATAATTCATAGTTGTCTCCCCTGTCAAGCAATTCAGAAATCGTGCAATGATATTTTGATCATTTTGAGAATAACAGGCCCTCCTTCCTGCACCAAAGTATGCTGAAAAATACTCTGCCAATACCACGCTCGAACCCCAGACCTCCTGGTAAGTGAGCCTGAGCATTAATCACTGGGCCATCACGGCTCCTGCAACAACAGACAGCTTGTCAAATTATGAAATGAAAACTAAGATATAGCCTACAAACCTTTGGTATATCATATCCTATGGATATATGAGGTCGTCTGGCGGATTTAAAACTAAATCTGGCTATCTGACGCTTGGCAAACAAAAACAGTATACAAAACACCTGAAAAAATACATAGAAAGTTAAATTGTAAATCATTCATAGCCTATGTAAATATATAAATTATATTATAAGTTATTTGAGTATATAGGATGATTTTGAAAAGAAAAAAACAACATCTTTTTATTTCTCTGGTAATGAAAGTTACTTGTAATTGAATATAAAATCGACAGTATAAAACCTCAATATCAATGACAGACGACACGTCAGACCAGTTTGCATTTAGACTGTGTTCAAATCTATTATCTGCATCTATCTTTAATATGGACACTCTGAAATTTCTGGGGTGTTGAGTGCAGGCCTGGATATAATGTACATGACAAAATGTCAGTCACTAACGAAATAGTACTTGACATTTTCAACTTAGTGCCGGACATGTATTAATAATATCAATAAAAAAGACAAATCAGTGCCTGACAAAGCCTGAATCTGTGTCTGACATTGTCAGTGACAGGTGCCTTAATTAATTCCAGGCTTCGTTGGATGGCCAAATGGTTAGCACGTATGCGTTGTATCATAAAGTCTGTCACTGGGTTGTATGTGACAAGGAGTAGGGTCGCCCATCCAACATTCGAGGGTTTTCTCCGATTCTCCGGTTTCCTCCCACTGCTAATTGAAATAAAATTGAACCATATGTTACTCCCAAAATGAAATAGTTTGTGTTGAGTGGACGTTAAACCCCATTTCTTTTCATTTCATACCGTACATATGACTATGGTATGATATGGAATCAGTGTACTCTTAAATTTGTAGGGTTTCTGTAAGTGTTTATAATATTTCCCTGCTGTACACACGACTGCTGTATGGATATTAAAGTTATTCTTAAATTTTAAAAAAATATTTTTCTTACCAATGCCCCAGTAGCTATGAAGAGTATAACACTAACAAGAGATAATTCAGCCATATTCAACAGTTATTCGTTTATCAACAAACTGTCTTATATTACACATTTTAACAAGGTTCTAGATGGGATTCTACATGTATACTCAGTTGTTTACAGCATTATCTGAAAAAGAGTAAAAAAAGAATGTACCGGTATCTACCCTTGGAAAACATTTTGACATATTGAACGGTAAAGGCTAAAGGTCAAGAACGATAGCAGATTACTTCACAGGTCACAAGATCTAAATAAGGTTACTGTGTGTTATTGTTGAAGAGATTGTGGGTTACGGTTAGCACAAGCCCTAACCCATGCCCTAACCATAATTACATCTCATGACCTACATGTATGATGAAATCTGTCACCGGTCTTGGCTTTTAGACCTTATCATATTGAACTGGTCCTAGTTTCTCTAATAGAAAAACCCATAGAAATCCCATGAAAATCCCACAGAAAAAATACCCATGCATAACCCATGAGTGCTGAAAATCCCAGGATGACCTGGGAAAAACATCTGAAGTAAGTGAGTACAATCATTCTATGAGAATAAGCTTACAATAAGCCTAGGCTTGGTTATCAAGATGTACATGATAGTAAATGAAAAGGGGTTTAACATCCTACTGTTCTGCATCGACTGGGCTAATAACATCGCTTAGACGGGCATATGAGGGCAAATGTACACAGACAGCAGCAGCTTTTCATTTGTCAAGGGTTCCATACCCTCAGTCCTGAAGAACTTTCTAGTTCCACACTGGGGACTGGGTTAGTGAGTCAGCTCAGACATAGACAATAGGTAAACAATAAAAATAAACGTTTGTGCTTGACGTCAGTTTCAAAGACCAATTTAAAATTATGGTTGTTGTGACATTCGGAAGCTAGAACAATAACATCTACGGGTATATCTATCACATATTCTCGTCAATCTCTGAGCAAGTCGGCGTCAAATCGACAAATACCATGATGGTCAAAATGTCAATAATCTCCTCTCTTCACTATTTCTGTGATGTCTCCAACGAAAGGAAGAACAATAATCATACGTACAGTGAAAACTTATTTTGTTTACATGGCTTACGTTATTGTATGTTAAAAATCGACCACTTTACCAGCTAATACAACAATACATCGTTAAATACTTCCACCGCTGTTGTCAAATTTACATTTCTATGGGGGCGTCCATATTGGTAATGCAAAATTTAGAACTCTAATTTGAACACAAACGAAACGAAAATTCGGAGAAACCGTGTTACCTCTCGTAGGTCTGTCGGCGAGCCCCGAGGTAAAAAATATAATATAACGCAAAATGAATTTATAAGTTTTAGTTATCGGTAATTTTCGTCGGATAGAGAACAGGGTAGAATTTTGTTCATTAAGCCATTTTTAGTAGACTCTAGACAGTCTGGAATTCGACTAAATATTAGCCAATGTAACTGAGCTAAATCGCTAATATTTGGGACGTAGAAGTTGACACACAAATGGGACGCAACGCATATAATAATGTAATATGAATGTATATAAACTGATTTACACTTAATCGTTTCCGTTTTTTACTCTAATTTCAAATCAGTTATGTTTGGCGAAATACCCAATTTAAGTCTCAATCGAATGGCAATCTAGCGTCTGGTCATTCCAGTCTACACTAATAGTATTTATTGTGCATGCTGTCCAGATAAGAATATGACGTCACCGTTTGACATGACTTGTGGAATATGTCTAGCCAAGTTCTTCGGGTCAATTGTAGCCTATATGGCACTGAAACGCAAATGTTCATTTTGTCTTAAATATTAGATATCAGAAGCCTGACTTTTTCCGGTAACATCACAACATCAATGTTGATTTGAATTGACAAATAATTCGTGTTTTCAATGTCGAAGACTTTGGATGTTATTGAGTTAGAGACTTATGTACTTTAAAGTTTACATTGGTTTTTATTGATTTCAAAGTGTCTATTGTTTAGGGTGGTACAAAAAACGAGGTCCAGTATAGACATTAGCGTGCACTCAAATGAACTCTTGACAGAATTCACTGACGGGGAACCTTTCACGTGCACGTCAATAAGTACACGAATGGACCTCGGCGTTGCTTTCGATACGTAGTGCTATAATGGCATTTAACAATGAAGGATACACATCGATCATGGACACACTACTTCGATCACATCGGTGTACCTCCGTTTTAGTTCCAACCGAACGACTACACACATCTTTCATGCCAGTCTCGCAGGGGCCACCCCTGAAGAGGGAAGGCCGTTCCTGAGAACCAAAAAGTTCTTCTCGATCCATGACGAGATTCGAACCTAAGCCATTCTAGCCGAGCGACCACTCACCTTTTTTTCAGGGTGGCATTTGTTTGGGTCGACTCTAGAGACATTTGAAATACAAACGCCTTCATCCCTTAACATCCTATCCCACTTTTCTGCACCAATCGGGATAATGAAGACGGGCATATGACATAAAGTGCGCTAACAATGAATTTTGACCTGGCAGAGGAGGGGGGGGGGCATGCTGTTTGCTATATAATAATAGGGGCAATCCAGCTGACAGCGGTTATTTTATATGCACACCAGCGTGTACACGGTACCTCGGTTTTTCGTACCAACACTTTTCCATGTCAGACCACCCACTCACCCAGTCCTGCACAACTGACAAGGGTAATCCGTATACTGGAAAACCCGCATGACCTCAGTCGTTCAAAACGAGTTCGAACAAGGGATCTCCTGGTCAGCAATCGGTACACCATGTTTAAGCGTCTGTTCATCGTGAGAAGCGTGTTAAGCGAAAGCGTCGATAACCTAATTTGCATAAACATGAACAATTTAAAGGGCGTGTATGGCTCTATTTTTTGTAACCTTGAAATAGACGAAAATGGTTCTAAAGCACAAATTAATGTACGATGAATTGATGTAAAGTGATTTATATTCAGTTTTTGAAAAACATATTGTAATTTCTAATCAAGTATGTTTGGTGACATACGTGAACAGTTCATATTGAACGGCATTTACACCTGCTTAGGGCATTCTACACGTTTTTTTTTTTACTATATTGTCGTTTGTGAATCAGCCTTTACTAATCACTTCCACATTGTCTTGTAGGATATGATTTTAATTTGTGGCACCCGAAACCATAGAATACAACATCAGTATTGATCGAACTAGCCCAACATTGAATTCTAATTCTTGTTTTTAATTTCGAATATTATGGCAAATATTGAGTTAGAGATTTAGTTACTTTAATCTACAAGCATTTGCGTAATTTTGTGGAAACAAACGGGGGATCACGGTGGCTAAGAGGGTAAGACGCTAGCTCGCTAGGCCGGAGGTCGGGTGTTCGATCCCTGCATTGTCCAATAAAGTTCATCCAGATTTTCAGGCGTGGTTCTCTCTTGTCAGTGATGCAGGACGGAGGGCCTGACAAGGACAACTGTCTAGTCGTTCGGATGGGACGAAAAACCGAGGTCCCGTGTACACATTGGCGTGCTCGTAAAAGATTCCTTGACAGTTGGAATTCGATATAAGAGTAGGCCGTAGTGCCGCTATCCGGGCAAAATTTCCCTCATAGCACACTGTATGGCGTATGCCCGTCTTCATTAGCACAGTTCGGAGCAGAACAGTAGGACGTTAAACCCCATTTCATTTCATTTCGAAACAAACGACAATAGTATTAAAGATGAATAAAAGTATAGGGCTCTTTAAAACCTTTGAATTGTTTAATTCAAAGATATCAGAGGATAAATCAAAGGTTTCATTAGATTTGAACGGTTACATTTTTACTGTCATAAAGAACAATGACTGGTTGTTTCACGTTGCTATGACGATTTCCGTTTATATCATATGATATCTCCGGTATTTTCTTCCTGGTTTTGTTGTCAGGTGACGTCACTTATTCTTCCTCATGCAGGACAATATTCTATCGAATGGAGCATTATCCAGTCATCATTTTTTACTTTGAAAATAGCATGAAATTGGCTGACTGACACACGGATACCTTAAAGTTTTGTTCAAATTTCAACTGTTAAAAATTTACAAAAATAAATCAGCTTGAACAGTACTACAAATCCACCCGGGCGTCCTCGACAATCTCCCTTAAACGCAACTTCTGACCCTTGGTTTGGGGACTTATTCGTAACAAAAACTTCTTCATTTCCCAGTGAATGGTTTACCCTTTTACGGGCAGAATTACAGTCCATGTAAACGCCATAAAAAGACATAACACGTGACCCATCTTCTTTTCATTTCGGCACGGCACCCATAATGATTTTGTGCAAAGTTCTTGGTGGACCGGGTGCAGTAAATTCTGTTCGACATAAGCCAGTTTCCGAATTGGGACTTTCTAAAGCCCGAAATCACATGATAAGAACAGAATATAGTCGTGAATTTTAATTAGCTGTGTAATAGAGAGAGAGAGGGGGGGAGAGGGAGAGAGAGAGTTTAACGTCCACTCAACATAAACCTGGTCGGCCATTCACCCCCCCCCCCTCCTCCTCGCTGCTCGGCTGTGTAATGAAACCTGTAGGCCTACTGAAACAGTTTTGGTGTTATTATGAACTACGCATGACAACTTATTCGGTATTAGCATAGAATTGGCAGTGAGATTAATATCTGCTTTAAACCTACTTTATATCGTGTGGGTGGCGAATGCGTGTTGTTTCCCATTGTCAGTGGTGCAGGACGGAGGACCTGGCGAGGAGCAGCGTCTAGTCATTGGATGGGACGAAAAATCAAGGTCCTTGTGTAGTCAGTGGCATGCACGTAATAGAACCCCCGACAGTACGAAATAAGAGTATGGCGTAGCGCCGCTATCATGGCCAAATTGCCCCCACGATGCACAGCATTAGACAGGGTGGAGAAGAACAGTAGGACGCTAAAACCAATTCTTGCTAACATGGACACATGTTAGCAAATCGCATCGAAGCTCTTTGATGAAGAGAGAACCAGCTTAAATATGTATGGTGATAATACTAGTAATATGCCAAATATTAAAGCATAGAAGTAAAAATTTATTTTCGATATGAGATCTCTTTAAGTTGTATAAATATTAGGAAATAAATGAAATGAAATGGGGTTTAACGTCCCACTGTTCAGCTCCGACTGCGCTAATGATGACGGGCATACGCCATACAGTGTGCTATGAGGGAAATTTTACCCGGACAGCGGCGCTATGGCCTCCTCTTAAATCGAATTCCATGGTTCTTTCGCTTGACGCCAATGTATACACAAGGCTTCAGTTTTCCATCCCATCCGCACGTCTATAAGCTGTCCGTTGCCATGCCGGACACTCTTCCCGCACCACTGACGAGGCGGAACTACGTCGGAAATAAATATAGGGAAGTTGTAATTTAATACACTCATTTATTGTCGAGAGAAGTTCTCTTTAAGTTGTATAAATTTAGGGAAGTTGTGATTTAATACTTATAGTGGTGTACCATTTACGCGCACGTTTTATATAGCGGATAACGCCCTTTGACATCAGCCAATAGAAAACTCTAATATATGACAGGAAAAAATTTGGTGACCACATGTTTCACTGAACTTATATATTTAATTCTATTTTTATATATAGTGGGTCAATCTTTTGTTCTTTTTGACTGTGTTTGATAGAAAAGGGAGACGCACTCTTCTTTCGGAATTCTAGTACGGAGGACACTCCTTTCTCCGTTCTTTATGCCTAATCGTGAAGTTAGGAGAGATACGTTTCTAGTGCCGAGAACGCCTCTTTCTCATATCTGTATGCCTGATAATCTAGTGAAAGGGATACGGTTCAAGCACCGAGAGCATCCCTTTCTAATATCCGTCCGGTTGCCTGAACGTTAGAAGAGAAGAGTTTCTAGTTCCCGGTACTGCAACACTTCTTGTCTATTAGCTTGTGAAGTTGTTATTTCTTTCGCGGAAAACGCCAATTTCTGGTAATGTTATCTGTAAGATTGTAAAGTAGTGGCTGTGAAGTCTGTGCCTGAGAAGTCCACTGGTTGAGTTGTTTAAGAGACGAGTAGAAGATGTTCAAGCTATTTTTCTATATAAATCTATGGTTTATAGTCTACATATCTCGTACTTCAGGTACTAGTATTTTGTTAATTGATTTATTTTTTTTAAAATGCTAGCTTAGTTGCACGGATGAATGTCTTGTATAGTTTTAATTTAGATTTAAAGACTATGCGCGATTTAACGTTTTAGAACCACTTGCATGAACCTCTAAATAGGAAAATCAGTCCACAAATGGTTCAATTCCGGAATTTGAAAACACCCTCGACAGCCATCTTTATTTGTCTTGAACCGAATTGGTATTTTGATTTTGTTTTCTTAATTGAATGAGGAGCCACGGTGGCTAAGCTGGTGAGACACTGGCTCGCTAGCCTGGGAGTCGCATGTTCGATCCCTGTATTGGTCGAGAAAGTACATCGAGATTTTCCGGCGTGGTTTCCCCTTGCCAGTGGTGCAGGACGTTCGGATGGGACGAAAAACTGAGGTTCCGTGTACACATTGGCGTGCACGGAAAAATCCTTTGGCAGTTGGAATTCGATATACGATTTGGCTGTAGCGCCCATGTCCGGGCAAAATTGCCATCATGGCACACTGTATGGCATATGACCGTTTTCATTGTCCCAGTCGGATCAGAACAGTAAGACGTTAAACCCCATTCGTTTCATTTTTTTTTTGTGTTAAAATTTTACATCCATAATAAAGCAATAGTTCCTAATTGTCAGTTTTATCATTAGATACGGCGCCAAATATAAAATAAAACACCATTAAATTATAAATAAGCTATAACACGTACTTATGGAAGTACAATTACTAACATATTTGAGCGAAGTTTTCTTGCAAATTGTAACATATGAAGTTACTTTAAAATGTAGAAGTTCAACCATTTGTTTTTCAACCTTTCTTCTTTTGTCCATGGTATAAATGATATTGTCCAGTTTATATGTAATGTCTAGCACAGCACCTGATAGATTGTTCATGGTATAAATGATATTGTCCAGTATCTTTGAAAGGCATTTAGTGAACGGGATATATAATAAACTGACAACTTTATGGATAACATTCACTATAGGTTCATTAACTGCAACGTTTCAATGAGGATCCTCATTGAAACGTTGCAGTTAATAAACCGGATCCTCATTGAAACGTTGCCGGTTTATTTATGATATTGTCCAGTCTATATGTACTGTCTAACACTACATCTTCTAGATTGTTCATGGTATACATGTTATTGTCTAGTCTATATGTAATGTCTAGCATCACACCTGATTGTGTAAATATGTCCATAGTATAAATATGTTAACGGCATTCTATATTTCTTGTCTTGCGTCAAATCTACTAGATATATCCATGACAATTCTATATTTCATGTTTAGCACCAATATCCATGACATTTCATGTTTTGCGCCAAGCCTTTTGTTTATGTCGATGGTATAAATAATATTGATCGTTCTGTAAATGAAATGAAATGAAATGGGGTTTAACGTCCTACTGTTCTGCTCCTATACTGGGCTAATGAAGACGGGCATACGGCATACAGTATGCTATGAGGGAAATTTTGCCCGGACAGCGGCATTATCGCCTACTCTTATATCGAATTCCAACTGCCTGGGGATCTTTTACGTGCATTCCAATATATACATGGGACCTCGGTCTTTCGTCTCATCCGAAGGACTAGACAGCTGTCCTTGTCAGGCCCTCCGTCCTGCTACACTGACAGAGAGAAACCACGCCGGAAAATCTGGATGAACTTTCTAGGCCAATGCAGGGATCTAACACCCGACCCCCAGGCTAGCGAGCCAGCGTCTTACCCACTTAGCCACGTGATCCCCTGATCGTTCTGAATTACACGCCAAGTCTGGAAGATATATCCATGGTATAAATAATATTGACCGGTCTATAGTTCACGCCAAGTCTGGAAGATATATCCATGGTATAAAAAATATTGACCGTTCTATAGTTCACGCCAAGTCTGGAAGATATATCTACGATGGTATGAATAATATTGACTGTTCTGATATATCCATGGTATAAATGATATTGACTATTTCTATATTTCATGCCTTGCGTAAAACCAGATAGAAATAGCTATGGCACATATGATATTGTACTTCTTTATTCCATACCTGGGCCTACGTGCTCTATATTGGTGTATCGAATGTTTATATAATATTGCCCTGTCGATATTTCACGCCTTGTAGTATATTTAGATTTTATCATGCTGTAATATATTGGGAGAATTCATTGACCTAGTAATGCAGAGAGAGGGAGAGAGAGGATTTAATGTCGACATTCAATAATTCGCTTGCACGTAGGTTTTTTTTAGTAGCGTTAGGAAACCGGAGGACCCGGAATAACCCACGAGGTTGGACAGGCGACCCGACTTCTTGTCACGTACAACCAGGGAATCGAAACCACGCCAGTTGACTCGGTGACAGACCTTATGATGCAGTGTTGAATGTTAAGTGTGTGAAAATGTGTTGCGTGGATGGTGCGCAAAAACTCAAAACCATGCCGCAAAGCTCGTCATTGCGTCCCTTTCACTTAGTCCCTGGTGTGGTGTGTTAAGAGTGAATATGTGTTACGTATATTATGTATACATGTTAGGAGTGTTGAGTGTTGAATGTGAATAGGAAATAAAGATCATACAAAACAACAGCACAATTTCTTAACTCCTTTAACGAGAAGTCGTATCAGGTGTTATATTTTACGAATCCATGTCAAATGGCATTTTGAAACAAATTGGCGGAGACTGTAACAATAAAACACCCACGGCAATATTGTAAATACCCCACAGATGCGCTTTTCATGATTTGAATTATTCATATTCAGTTCATCCCCTCCCTAGATCTGTTAATATGTACATAGGTAATCCGTTATCCAATGTAAATATAAGTAAACTTTTGATGTGTAATCAAATAAATCTGCTCTACCGTCTAGACCTGGATTTTATTATTCAACCTACAGGTTTTCATGATCAGCAATATTCATGAAAGTCTGACTATGTAATTTGGTTTAAATTTTGTAAAATAAAATTCTAAGATTATTAAATTGAAATATACTTCACTTAGCCAACTGTGAAAATTTTCAAGAATATTTAACATAATGCTCATGATCGCTTTTATTCCGTTCCTTACAGAACTGCACAGTGCATTAATTTGAGAAATGAAATAAAATAGTGTTTAACGTCCTACTTTTCTGCTCCCACTGGGCGTTGAAGACGGGAATACGTAATGCAGTGTGCTATGTGCTATGAGGGGAATTTTGCCCGGACAGCGGCGCTACGGCCTACTCTTGTTTCGAATTCCAACTGTCAAGGGTTCTTTTACGTGCACGCCAATGTGTACACGGGACCTCGGATTGTCGTCCAGTCCGAACGACTATACGTTGTCCTATGTCAGGCCATCGGTCCTATGTCTTAAATCGACATTTTAGTCGAAAACACTAAGCATATTTCGCGATTTTTAGAAGTTTTTATTCTGCTTCCATTTAATAAAATTGAATAGATTTATTTAGTCTTTGTGTGTATGCCGGATGTGATACAGAGTAGAACCGCAGTTCAAAACAATATCCTAATTTTTAGATATGGCGGCCATTTAGGGCAGAGATCTATTCTCTGGCACTGTGTGCAGAATGCCTTGGCAGTTGACCTTTTCAAAATGTTCTAAACCTCCACTAGGGGATCACGTGGCTAAGTGGGTAAGACGCTAGCCTGGAGGTCGGTTGTTCGATCCCTGCATTGGCCGAGGAATTTCATCCAGATTTTCCGGCGTGGTTCCCCCTTGTCAGTGATACAGGACGGAGGACCTGACAAGGACAACTGTCTAGTCCTTCGGATGAGACGAAAAACCGAGGTCCCGTGTATACATTGGAATGCACGTAAAAGATCCCTTGGTAGTTGGAATTCGATATAAGAGTAGGCGATAGTGCCGCTGCCCGGGCAAAATTTCCCTCATAGCACACTGTATGGCGTATGCCCGTCTTCATTAGCCCAGTTCGGAGTAGAACAGTAGGACATAAAACCCCATTTCATTTCATTTCATTTCATTTCTAAACCTCCACAAAGCCCTGATGGTTCTCTAGATCCCCATATTTATAGTACAATGTACAGTAGCGGGGTCGTAAACACGCGGAGTCGTGAACACCTTCCCAACGATCATGTACGGGGCACTGAACTCAAAAATGAGGTTGGTAAACGTGTCTATTTATTTTATTTCGTCTATTGTATAACGGCTGTCATTTGGTATGATTAATATTACACGTTTAAACAACAAGGAAATAGACATGAATATTCCAAATTAATGACATTCCTTCCACTTAACCTTGACTCAATATCAAGCCATAGACATCGACCAGGAACTTAACTGGCTGATTTTTTAAAATAAAAGTTTAAAAAAAAATTGAGATGAATATTAATAAATCGATAACTACCAGGAAGATCCCCGACTCTTTGTTGTTACACCGGGAACTTGGCCCAGAGCGGCACTCATCTTGTTATTCTTCTTACTCTTCGTCTTCTTGTGGGCGACACCTTTTCAGGTGCGATTTGGCATGATTGTTCTTTGGAAGGGAGAGAGAGAGAGAAATGGGGTTTAACGTCCACTCGACACAGACTAAGTCATTTCGGGACTAACGTATGGTTTAATTTTATTTCAATAATTCGCTTGCGCGTAGGGGTCTTTAGCAATGGGAGGAAGCCAGAGGACCCGGAGAAAACCCACGAGGTTGGACAGGCAACCCTACTCCTTGTCACGTACAACCGGGGATTCGAAACCACGCCAGTTAACTCAATGGCAGGCGTCATGATACAGCTCGCACATGCTAACCATTCGGCCATCTAAATCCCCTCTTTGGAAGGGGCATTGGAAGGCCGAATGGTTAGCGCGTGCGCGTTGCATCATAAGATCTGTCAGTCTGGTATTGGTCACAGTGTTGCCCGAGACAATGCCTCGGGATTTTTCGGCGAGGTGCCCGAAGGGCCTGGCAAGCATCAGCGCCTAATCGTTCGCATGTTACGAAAAACCGAGGCCCCTTGTACACATCGGCATACATGTAAAAGAACACGTTAGTTGAAATTT